GTTCTTATCTCAACCCACGAATCTCCTTCCCCTTTCCCCCTCTAATTCTCTTCCCCATTCCCTGGGCTTGGGAGAGGGTCAGTGAGGAGCTGTGTGGCGTTTAGTTGCCGGCTGCGCCAAACCATGACAGATTGTTGATAAGGAGTCATAAGTTCTTCAGTTATTTAAAAGCAATGATTGTCTGAAGCCAAAGAAGGAATAATTTTCTCTGAGTCTATTGTTTACTAATTAATTAATTTTCTGTAAGTTTTCATTATTGAAAAAACACAAAAACAAACAGTAAATTCCCATGACTTTTTCTACATATTGGTAAGAAGCTAATCCCTGTCTAGGCAAAGGGAAAAAAAGGCTGACTTCAAGTTCTGGATAGGTGTGATAAACACCAGTTTACTGCATCAAAAAGTGGACACTACTTCCTCCTGTTGTTGTGTTTTTGGACAAAAGTGTCTGATTTTGTTTGTTGAACTCATTTAGTTTCATGATGTTGCATGATTTCCTGTTTTATTTGATTTTATTAAATGAGTTGAAGACTTATGCAGAGATTGGGCAGCTCTCTGTTTTCTCTGAATCATAGCACTTTTAAAATTTATTTACTTGGACTAAGTGCATTTCAGCATATGCAACTCCAAGTTAATGGAGAGCCTTGAATTTCAAAATGGTGTTGCCTGGTGATTGAAAGCAATATTACATATTTTTGTGCTTAAATAGAAAATTAATGATTGGGTAAACTGACTGGTTTTTGCTTTTTGACCTTTCTGTTATCATGCTTGCTAAGATACAAAACTTAGCAGTCATGAAAAAGGGTAAAACTTCCAAATAGACTTTTCCAAAATGAGGAATCTGGCCTTTGAAATATTGAATAGTATTTACTTAGCAATTTTGAAAGACGTTGATTTGAAGATCAAGTTTAGTACTTGGGAACAAATACACATTCCAAAACTATAAACAGATAGTAATCTATGAAGAGTAATGATTCAAGATAAGTAATTACGAACGTGAAACATATGATAGAAGGTTTCAGTAACTGAATAATTTTGTAGGGTATAGTGGTTAATGAGGCATGAATGTTTCGTAGTTGAAAGTGATGTTAAAAATGTTATTGTTGCATACATTTAACTTCTTCAATCTTTGTGACCTTTTTACAAGTCATAGTTCTGTTTTGATTTTATTTCTTAAATGTGGTTTTTTATCATAACATGAATTCATGTTGAATTTTGAATTCATGCTGTAAAAATAACCGCATTTCCCAAAATATCAGTGAACTCAGAATTTCAAGCTTCAGCCAAGAGCTTTAATGAATTAAAAACAAGATAACAGGATGCTTGAACATTGGACTTTTTTGGCTGACATTTGTATTAATTGTTTGCAATTTTGCAACATGCACAGTATGCAAAATATATTATAGCTGACTAAAATTCAAAATTTTGTTGTCAGATTAAAGAAGTTAAAATAGATGGAGCTGTATAAATTGTTTTGCAATGTATTAATAATTGGATGAGCTCTTTCTGCCTCTCTCCTCAATTTTTGCCATACTTCCCTTCTCTCCTCATCTTCAGGTAAAACTGACGAGTTTTTATGCAAGGTTTGGTGGATGATTGGTTTAACATTGTGACTGAATTATTTATTTAGAGCTTTAACTTGTTTAAATGTTATTCCCTGAGGAGGCACGGATTGTTCGCCAATCTTACTTAATTTGGTTATAGCTATTGTACATACATTTCTAGAATTATAACGTTTCCCTCAGCTAAATGAACAATATGAATAATTCCTTTTGTTTTTTTTTCTTGAAGCCGATCAACAACTTATCCTTACACAGAAACCCAGATGTACAGCCAAAACACTGGAGGAAATTATTTTGATACTCAAGGAAGTTCTGCACAGGTGACAACAGTGGTCTCATCTCATAGCATGGTGGGCACTGGAGGGATTCAGATGGGTGTCACAGGAGGACAACTCATTAGCAGCTCAGGAGGGACCTATCTGATTGGCAATTCAATGGAAAATTCTGGCCATTCAGTGACTCATACAACGCGGGCCTCCCCAGCGACAGTAAGTATATCAGACTGATGCAAAATCTTTGGGACTAGTTTCTTAGTAACTTAGATGTCCTTGCAGACTGGCATGGTTTTTGTGACAGAATATATAGCAATATTATGTTTTCAGAATAAGTACTACATAGTACTTTTTGTAAAATAAGATACAGTAGTAAAAATACTGTGAAATCTTAAACATGAAGGCAGACCTTTACCTTGATAGCTCACAAATATTTACATTTCACAGGTTAAATTTTTGCATTCAAGTGAAATGCTTTGGGAATGCTCACATTATAGTTTGTCTGAGCTAGATATTTGTCAGGTTGGGAACTAAACTAGCCTCCTCTAGCATTTTGTATTTTTTCTAAAAACATAAGGAAAACATAGTGTTGTCGAGTATAACTATGTTAGATATAAATGTTAAATAATGTAAGTTACAGATGGGTATTTGTAACTTGCCTGTATTTGTTGTGGTTTGTTTGTTTGATTTTAGTGTAGGTTTTGTAGCTTAATTCAAAATATTTCCAATTGTTCAGAATACTGAGGTACTACCTTTTAATACTTTGTTCTTACTCATCTATGGTATGTCTCCAAAGTCTGTCCCGAATTAAAAGATCATTGTGGAAGTGTCTTACAACGCTATGGGGTAACATATTCTTTCACAGCTGTGATAGATAATATTGTGGACACTTAAACACAGAACTTTGCCATAACAGCTTATTCAATCAACCCTTATTTCAATGAGGAAAATGGGTTTATGCCTAGTCTAGCTTTGCTGCATAGCACTAATGAATACTAATTCTTCTGGGTGTTCTGATCTGAACATAGACATTTGGAAGTAATGGGAAAGAGAATTGTGGAACATAGAGTAGGAAGAGTTGAAAAATATAGTAAAGGAGATAAAGCATCATTAATAATATAGATTCATCAGTGCTCAAAAGGTCAATGAAATTAGGGGACTTTATTTTTAGGAACCAATGTAATGAGTACAAATCTAATATTCTTCTGTTTGGAATTATGATGAATGCTTACAATAGCATTGGATAATTTAGATGATCTGATAAAATCTCTTAATTTTGATTCTTAGTCTAGGTGGTATAGATAAATACAAAATTTTTGTACAATGTTAAAAATTGTGATTTCATCTATAAACTAGTATTATTTTCTAAGAATAAAAATTGTAAAGAGTCATAATTAATGAATAGCATAGATATCAGTAATGTAATGGGAGCTTTCAGCTAGCAACAAAGAATTTTATATTTGAATTACAAAAAAAAAAAAGAGGAAAAGTGTCTATTAACATTTCCCTGTATTTTACATGACGTTAATGGAAAACAGAGTTTCTGAAAAGATCAGCATTCCTCTTTCAGATTCATTCAGTTAAAATCAAGACTTTAACTTGACTGTTTTCTGTTTTCCTTTAAAGTACTATCTCATTTTACTTATTTGGAAGATATTTCGTGGAATTTTTCACATGACTTTATGATTGCCAAGCACAGACAAAACAAAGTTTTCTATAGGCATCACTAAGGAATAAGTCTTATAGATGGAATGAAATTTGAAAAATGATGTTTCTTTAAATACTTGAATGGTAATAATTCTATGATTTCTTAGTTTTTTTAAAAAAATGTTCTACAGTTGAATACAAATACTGCCTCTTTCAGAGATCATGCCAATTTTCTCCTTAATCAAATAAGAACAAATGAATTTGTGTTTTGCATATCATGCTATAGGTTTTGTTTTATTCACCAACAACAGAATTCAGTCAGTGGAAAAGCTTAACAGAATGTGAAATCAAGTGAGGCTTAAATGCATCCAGTAAACACAAATGAAGAATAGTAGATGTACTTTGAAGCTGGATGTGCTAGAATTACTGTAATGATATCCAAACTCCATGCTATATTTTGCAAATTAAAAATGGTTTTGATTTTTTGATTTTTGCCAAAATTAGAAGTCATATTTGCAAAAATTTAACAAAAATCTAAGGTTCACATCTTCAGCAACATCTTTTGATTACTTCATATGTCAACAAAACGGCCTGTTTTAGTTGCGCTAGGTAGTTAGTTGCTCTAGTTTAGTTGCTCTATACTGCTGTATCAACTTGCCTTAAGAATAGAAAAAAAATAGTGTTAATTAAATTGCAACTATTAAATTGCACTTGAAACACTAAAATAGTTTCCTCTGTTTTTTAAAATGCTATTTATTTTCTATACTATAGTATATTTCTGTAAGGATGACACTTTTGAATATATTAGAAGTGCATTTCTTGCTAAGGAAGTGGGATACTACATGATTATAGATTTTATAATTCTAGGCTCGGTATGTATAGTTCAGCTGAAATACTCAAGAGTCAACTGAAACACAAAAAGTTCAGTTTAAACTGTAAATTTAAAGCACTATTTTTTCTTTTTTTTTTTTTTTTTTTTACTAGAGGGCATAATTAAACTGTGCAAAATAGACCAAAGTAATATTTTATTTGGGTTACACCTTAGATAGGTAGAGCTTGTTTCACTTGTGATCCTCATTTGATCTTTACCATCATAACTTTTTTCATTCCTGTATAGAGAATTTGTTGGAGTCATCCAAATAACATGTTTTCAGGATGGTTTGCTAGTGTAATACCCAGAAAATATTTCCAAATTTTGGATTAGTTTGAATAATTCTTATATGGAGACAAAGGATGCAGAAAGAAGTTAGAATTTACTTACTAACACATGGTCATCACAAGCTTTCTTTGCTTTTGCCATAGAGGTACTAGTTCTGTTTCCTCTTTTCAACTGATAACTTCATTTATTTTGTTGTTGTTCACTTTCACTGAACAAATCATTGCCTTCTGTAACAAGGAAATGAATTCTATTATTGATATTATCTATTTCTGATATATCTAGCTTAAGTTAAAAGAAACAAACAAACCAGTTGCAGGTTAAAAGTCAGATGTATAAAAAAAGTCCATTTAATTAACTGTGTCTTAGATTAATGTTAAAAATCTAATTTACTTTTCATCAGATATGCTATTTTGTTTAGACAGAATTCATTAAAAGAGATTCAGACTTTTTACTTTAATTCTATATTCACTGTTTTCTTTATGGTTTAATGTAATTCTGAGTTCTGCTTTGGTTTTAATAAAGAGCTAGTGTTTTCTTTGTAACATTCGTACAAGAAAGCTGTCCTGCTTAAGCTATAGCAGGCAATAGCAGTGTTTTTATAGCCAAAATATTAAGAATTGAGAACTATCAAAACTATTTCAACATATGTGCACTAGTGGTTTATGTCAGCATGCATGAAGAACATTTGTTAGCATTTTCTTTACTGGCTTCATTTCCATTGATTTCATTGCTTCTTCCCATTATGTCCTTTGCTAAACTACTACTCTACCTACTAAAAAGGATTTTTTTCACTAAAACAGAAAGGCATTCAGATTACAAGAGCTTTTATATAAGATATTAGGTAGATACACAGCTTTCCAAAATGACCATTTTCATATGAATATATGTGGATTGGTCAAGAATAAATTGTGATTGCATTGAACAAGAAGTGATTTAACCTAGCTGGATGTCTATTTGAAATGAATTTACATGTTGAAACCTGTATGAGAGAGTCGTCTATTTGGTTTATTGGCAGCTACCATTAAAGATGGGGCAGCTGTATTTAAGAAACTAACTAGAAAACCGGATTGCCATGTTAATAATAAAATCTAAATCACCTTCCAATTTTTTTTTCATATGTAAATGTCTTAAGGACTGTTTTTGTGATAAACCAGGATGATCTAATCAATATATTTCATAATATCACAAGGATAAAAAAATCATATAGTTTCTAGTGATAAACGTGTTCTTATGCTTGCCAGCCACTGAGAGGCTCCCATCTATTATTCTCATTTTCTAACAAGCTTTATGACTGATCTACAATTACAGTTGTCATTCATCAGTCATCACCAACCATAGGCAGTTTCCACTCATGCTGTTGGAGAAATTTATCCTATTTCAGTGCAAATCTAAATGAACATGAAAATAAAAGCAAAAGCAAGATGTATATAATGTATCACCACAAATTATTATTTCTGTTAGTAAGCACAGTGTGCAGAATTTGCTCTGAACTTTAGAGGAAGAATGGTACCTACCGAAAATGCCTTGTAAGTAATGGAGGAAGAACAGCAACAACAAGAAGAATGCCCATTGTAAATATCATATCCTGATAATATAATTTTAGTGGAAGTATTATGATTATTTTAGGAACAAAAAGTAACAAATGTTTAAATGGTCCATTAAAAGTGGAGGGGTTATCATTCAGAAAATAGTTTGAGGTGATGTTTCATTTATTAATCTCTTTCTTGGTAGAGGAAATTTTCTTCCTCTATTCCAAATTTTCTCAGTAATTTTTATTTAGCTGGAACCGTCTTAGCATAAAACAAACCATTTATGATCAAATTTAAGAGGCACAGATTTTTATGCTTGAAAAGATTGTTAGATCATTTGGTCTGACCTCTTATACTGGCAAGACATTTACTTATGACTTCTTCAACTAAGCACAGTGACATCTTTTGTGGAAAAAAAGCATCCATTTCCAGATACAAGAAAGCAGATAATTTTTTTTTCTGCTATTAAATGAGTCATAAGAATAGTTAATAATTACTATTGCTAAAAACCCATTTATGTGGTATGAATTAACTGGGGGAGGGGGTGAGAATTTTAGAGCATTTGTGGATCTTGCCTTTATAAACCTCTGCCTCTAAGACTTTTCCTCCTGCTTTGGTTTCTCCTTCAGAGCTCTGGAGCATCATGCCTTCTCCCTCTCTCTCCCAGAAGAGAGAGATTTCAGTGTAGCAGTGTGGCCAGAATAACTTAATGTCTTTCTCTGCGCTTTTGAGTGCCTTGCTGCTCCACTGTAATGTCTTGAGTTGAGACTCTGCCCTTTTCACAAGAAAAGTAATGTGGGGAAAAGGGAGAATGACCCTACTAAGGTCAGCCACGCCTATGCTCCTTGTTTCCCTTCTGATACTGTCTGGCTTCAGCTTTCAGTCATTTGGCTTTTGGTGTGTTTTCTGCATAAAAAGCCTTCTACCACCTCGTAGGTTCTTTCCAGTTTTGGCAATTGAATATATATTCTGGTATTTGCATGTCAAAAATCAAGATGTAGTGTTGTTGGAAATTCAGTTTATTCCAATGTAGCATTCCAACTACTGATTAAAAAATATTGTGAGAAACACAATTATTTTTATATCATAAGATACTAAAAGTAGGTGTCTTTGAATCTGTGAGAAGAATTTCTATTAATTCCTTTTATTTGAAAGTAGATAAGCTGGATTCAAGATGACTTGCCGCTGGTGTTCTCATAAGTCCTATTGTCAATGGCATGGAGGTACAACCTTTGTAAAGGATTGGATGGTTTTGTTTCTGATTAAATAAACATTTGTTCTAAAATGGCCACTCTACCTTTCTTTAAGGCTGTCTTGCCATAAATGTTTTCAGATTTCGTTTTAATAATAATCTGAACTAAACTTCCTTTTAGTTTCTCAATTCCAGTTTTCTGGTGTGAGTAACTCTGATGTGTTTCCATGTGTTTTTCAGTGTTAGGTAGAGTGTGTATGTTCTAGAAGTTCCTACAATCAGCTTGACAAGGGATTTTTTTCTTTTGTTTTCCTTTAAGTGTTTGTACCAAATATGGGGAAACACCCACAAAGAAAAAAAGTTTAGAATCTGTTTGAAGATGTATATAATAAAGATTAGGTACACAAATAACTGGATGATCCAGGGGAGAGATGGTGAATTGATCAATTTGACCATATGTTTGAGAACTACCATCAAGGAACATGAACACAAGCAGCAATGTTTCATTTGAAAATTTGGAAAGAGAAAGTAATCTGACCTAAACTCCAAATATTTTTTATGTTTCTAACCTATGGCTCTTAGGTGTGCTTTTTCCCCCTATATTGACTCCATATATTCTTTGGTAATCACTAGAGAATATTTTATATTTATTAGTCAGTATGCATGCCCTGGGTATGTGCAGACTACTGGAGGTGTGCATTTGCAGCAGGTATTTTGACCAATATCTGTTATATACATTAAACTTGAATTTTACATTTACAAATTAATTTTAGGGGGGGGGGGAAAGCTTTTTTCACAGTTCCTAAGGTTTGTCAGCATTCTTTTAAGGTCACAATATGAAAAATACCACACTTATTTTCCATCTTTTTGTGTTCTTGTCTTTCTGCGTATTTACATTTCTTTCATTCCAACAGACACAAAAAAGTATCTTTCTATCTTCATAGTACTGTTTTATTCTCTTGAGCAACATTTCATAGAACTTGTTTACAAGAACTTGCTGGAGTTTCTTTTAGAAATAAGTTTAACCAGTATGGCCTTTGAAGACAATGAATCGGTGTTTACTTTTACTGAACAGCATAAGCCAAGCAGTGTTGATCACCACTAAAACATGCTAATTACTTCATCAAGCTCAGAAAGATACATGATCTATATTTAAAATGAGTCGTCTTCATATTCTACTAGGATAAGCTTCTCAAAAGAAATTTTTAGCTGTGCTGCCATGCTTCGTCTATTGTGAGATAAATCTTTGAAGTTTAATTCTTCCATCTGTAAAGGCTAGACCTGAATTGTCTTAGTGTTGTCAATACTATTTGATTTTCCAGCTAGGCAAGCTTGTCTGCCTAACATGACCCTCTAGGAAAAGTTTCAGATACCAGTACAACATACATGAACACTCTGTCCCGAAACAGAATTGAAAACTGTCATAAATGATGCATGTTTGTGGCACCTTGAAGAGTGAAAGTGTCACATTTTCAAAAGCCCTGAGTCCGTTTATCCTGTAGCTTCACGTTAGTTCATGATGCGTATACACCTTATTTAGGTAAGCAGAGTTGCCACAAGCTGTGTGACCAGCTGGTTATGCTGTGTTTGATGCACCCCAGGATGCATTTTGCCCTCTTGGCTGCCAGGGCACACTGCTGGCTCATGTAGAGCCTGCCGTTGACCAGCACCCCAGATCCCATTCCTCAGGACTGCTCTCCAGCCACTCCTCCCTCAATGTAGACTTATGCCTGGCATTTCTCTGTTTCAAGAGGAGAATTCAGTATTTGTTTTTGTTAAATTTCATGCTATCGATGATTACCCAATGCTCCAGTCTATCTGGATCCCTCTGCAAGGCCTCTTGTCCCTTGAGAGTCAACAGTACCTCCCAGTCCAGTATCATCAGCAAACTTGCTAATGGTGCATTCAACTCCTGCATCCACATCATTCCTAAAAATATTGAACAGAACTGTCCTAGAATTGAGCCCTGAGGAACACTAATAGAGGAGAACAAGAAGTAGCTGGAAATTTTCAGAATGGGCAAGATGAATGATTTAGTGTCTGGAAAACCTGTCTTCAAACATGTTTTATGCTCAAAAATAGTTAAAATGTATAGGCTACATAGGAAGGTTTCTGTCATTAAAGAGATATGTATCTGTCAGATAAAGCTGAAAGTTCATTTTATGAAAGTTTAGGCTAGAAATAATGAACAAAATAATTAGTAGTGAGGACAATTTATTTTGAGAAGCTTATCCTAGTAGAATATGATGAAGACTCATTTTAAATATAGATCACATATCTTTCTGAGCTTGATGAAGTAATTAGCATGTTTTAGCATTTAGTAATTAGCATAGTGGTGACCAACACTGCTTGGCTTATGCTGTTCAGTAAAAGTAAACATGGATTCATTGTCTTCAATGGCCATACTGGTTAAACTTATTTCTAGAAGAAACTCCAGCAAAAAAGTCCCTTAAACGACGAAAAAGAAACAATTTTTTATTTGGCACATTGCATAGCACCAAAAGGCATTGGATCAGTATGGCAGTGAGGAACGAGTGTCATCTGTAATATGACTTTTCTTTTATAAGTGCAATTAGAACTACATTTTAACAGACTGTTCTCTGAACAAACAAGGCCACAGGTTGCACTGACAAAATGAGAGTAGTCCAGTAGTGGGAATGAGCAGCAGGAGATGTAACTTCAGTGCTGTAGTACTGCTTGCATTAAGCGTTGTAGAACAAGTAACCTGAGATTCAGAATTAGGATTTTAAAGTGTATACAGCCTTCACTGTTTGATTGTAGCATGATGGTAGGAAGGGAAATTCTGTGGCTACAGTATATAGCAAATTGACTTTACTATGATGATGTTTTAAGCTTGTGATGTTTACATGCAGCATGCTTTTAAAATTTCATCTTTCCTCTGTGATTGAATATTTTGACCTTATAGTATTTTCCACTGAAACAAGAAGAAATCAGAATATTAAAAAAAACCCCACATTATTGTGATCTAAGAATCTGTTTTCTTACATAGTAATTGCGTATTTGTAAAAAGGCTCCTATAGCTAATATTAAACAGTTGTAGGAGAGAAACAAGAAGTAATTCCTCACAGTTACCACAATAAAATACTTGTCAGTTGCCTTGTAAGAAAGGGAGAAGCTAATTTTATATGTACAGTAAATTCAAATATCAACTGCAGTGCTATACAGAGTGAATTCAGCCAATATTGATAAATTATACCACTAAAATTGTGGATAGTACTGTAATATTTGAAGTAGGATAGGGAGGGCTCATTAAAAAATGTCTACATGGAGAATGATAAATGTTTTTAAAAGTATAGGTAGTGGTTTCCATTGCTGTCATTTTGGCCATTTAATGTACGTAATTAACCACATGCCTTTTCTTACTGCACATCCTGTTGTCTCTGTCATTTTCATTGTCGTTTTTGCTCTTTTGGCTCCTCAGATAAATTACATGTAGGTTCTAAGTTTTTTTCTTTAATGCTGTCATTGTCAAACTAATCAAAATATCCATTGATACTAAAAAAGAAAAGAATTGGAATGGATGACAGTATTCGTACATTTGCATGTGAAGAAATACTACTTTGTATGTTGTTAGCGATGCATTTTCCTTTTGAAAGGGAAAATTATTGTGAACAAATCTGCTTTTCCAAAGGCTGGATCCTGCAATCTGTGTAACTCCTGACTTTCCGTTTACTTTGACAGCTGGGGATGTTCAAAGGGTGTTGGCGGCAGTAAGGATGATGTCCTGTCTGAGTGAAGCTAATGGTGGAAAACCTATTGAATTGTTTGGGTTTGGGATTTGATTCTGTGATTCCAGAGAGCTGAAGTTTTGTTTCTAACTCAATTGTTATTGGAAGCTGTGGGCATCTCTTTCTGATATAGTTGGAGGGAAAACATACGGAGAGGCCTTTCGTAAAGTTCTTTTTAGGCATTTCTTTTTTTATTTTATTTTATTAATTATATTTTTGTTCACTCAGAGTTATTTTTGTTTCAGTGTAGCTCACTAGTAAATCCAGTCATTTGATTTCCTGAGCAGGCTGGCAGGTTGGGCTTTGAGGCTGTGATCCTGCAGTTTATATGCATGCGAGCAAAATGCCTCTCTGACCTCATTGGGGAGTTTCGTGTTCACTGGGACTCTGGAATGAGGCCTTTTAGTGCAACATATGCCCTAACCAGGAATAAAGCAGGCATTTCTATTGATCTGTAAGCAATCTGTCAAAACTTCTCTGATCAGGCTTTTTTACTATCTCGTCTTGAGTCCTTTTTTTAATGACATCTATTATCAGATTGAAATGGCGATTGAGACACTGCAAAAGTCTGATGGTCTGTCCACTCACAGAAGCTCTCTTCTCAACAGCCATGTAAGTTGTCTCTTCTTCACATACGCTCTCTCTTGCTTGTTCTGCATGCTTAGCCTGCCTCTACATGTTTGTTTTATTTTTTTACGACTTTTTGCGCTTAATCTTCTCATCTTAGTTGCTTGTAATCTTCTACTACATCTCCCATGGCTTTACTTTATCAGATGAAATGTCTTTATGGTATATTGCGGAGTGTTACCTGTTTACTATGCTCTACACACGTGTTAAGACAAGTTAAGACATTTGACTGTTTTGCTGTTTATAGTGTAAATGTCAAGATAAAGTTGAAATAATTCTCAATTAGTTGGTGTTTGACGTTTTAAATAAAGTTGTCTACAAAGCCAAGTCTGTGTACCCTATATTAGTTTTGGGGCATATAAAGAAGAAGAGAAGAAACAAACAGCATGCATGCCTAAATAATATCTTTAGATTATTTTTAGATGTTTCTTCATTTATTCTGAATAGAGAGTTTATTATGAAATTATTTACTTAAGAATCTAAAGATCCTTATGATGACCTGGAAAAAAAAATAATTATCTTAATTTGAAGTACACAAAAATGTCTTATTCAGCTGCCTTTTATGTTGTTCTTATTCTGCAAATCTTACAGTCAAGAACTTTCCATATACAAAGCTAAAAGATATTTGAGTGAAAACATGATCTCCAAATATAGTGATAAATCCATTATATGTACCTTTAAAATAACAGAAAAAAAGCCCAAAGATAGTTTTAAACTTATTATATAAATAATTATACAGCTTCATAAGTTGCTAGTCTTTCCTGAATTTTTTTTTTCCTGTTGGTATTTGTGTTTTTGTATTTTGTATTTTTTGCCATGTCGATTGGTTTGTATTCATCTTACTTCTTTTTGCCTTCTCAGCTTTACTAATACCAGAAATTCAAATTCCTTTATTGTTTTAAAGAATAAATTTAAATTTGGTTTATGGTCTTAATGTAAGAATATGGTGGTAGAGGCTATCCCTCAGAAATCAAATTAAAAATGTATGTTTTAGTATGGGTCTGGTTATGTCAAAGTCAAAAATAGAATTGTCTTCTGGAAATTTTGAGCAAACTTTTTGGTTTGTTTTGGTTTTTTTTTTTTTCCCTTTAGAAATAGATAGTATTAGACAGATAATATAAAAGTTACTATTTAAATATTATTTTTAAAGAGACCATAACTTTTTTTGGCAGAGTGTCAGAAATTTGTTTTAAGACTTGGAACGCTTGAACTGTTGATAAGTTTGTGTTTAATCCTATTATGAAGTCCAAAATCTTGGTATAAAACCAAGAAGAATTACAAGATAAGCTACTGTGCCCCAGTAAACTCTGTTCCACTCATTCCTGGTGCTATGCATTGTTCACAATGTGTTCCTCATAATGAAAATTGGATTCAACTGATAAGTCTTATCATGATATTTCTTTCTTGACAGTGAAGGATTTTTCAAAATTATTCTGATAGGGATGTGTTTTTGTGGAAAACAAACAAACAAAAATTGCTGTACATATTTTCATGGCAATCAGTGTTTCCTAGCCTTAGTCATTATGGAGGAAGTTAACAGTCTAGATGAAATGAATGTTTTGCCTGTTTTTAAAGCAATACTTATTGTCTTTAAACTTAAGTGAGGACAGTATGTAGGAAGTGTAAGTATAGGTTTAGTCTTTGGCTCTTTAAACTGTTGTTGATTTTGTCTTCTTATGGTTTGGTTTGGCAGTTATTAAAATCATTTGGTGTAATACATTTTAAAATAGAATTCTAAATTGTGTGTTTAATTAAGTTATTTTGCAGATGATATATTAATTTCTGGGAAAATAGTAGTTTGGGGATTGGGTTTTTCACTCTATCATACCTCAATGAGGTTTTCCACGATTTTTTTTTCCCCTTAAATTCACGTGTGCTCATTTTAAGGAGTTCATCATTTCTCCTCTGTTTTCTTGTCTTTCCTGTTTTATTTCTGCATGAGATCGACTTAATTAGTTGATTGTTGAATGTTTTATAAACATTGCAACTTAATTGGAGTCACAGTCAGTTTAATAGGTCTGACTCTGTAAATATTTTGTACCTTTACCCATTTTACTCATATGGTATGGTCAGTACTACAAATTAAAAAGCCAAGATTCAAACCTGAACTGCACAGTTTCAGAATTACATTTCATCTTGGTAGAAAAATGTGGGTTTTTTTAAAGTTGTTTGCAATAGTTTTATAATGTTTAGAGATAATTTACCTTTTAAAATCATATATTAACTGTACTTTTTCTTCCAGGCTATAATCTAGCAAGTAATGACTTCAAGCCTTTGCTACTAAGTAACTCCACCCGGGAGGAAAAATTCTTATATTGCTTTTATCTTTTGATTTAGGTTTTTTGGTGTTGAATAATGCAAGTCACAGTTGACATAATATCTGTTAGAAATTCGTATAATTAATGAAGTGCACTTAAAGTGATTCATAATAGGTTAGAAGCCATCTGGAAGAAAATATCTTTAATGCTACATGTAGAACTTAATTGGAAAATAATTATTTTTTGTTTGTCAGTCTTTTGAGATTGACAAAGTTTTTCCCTTTGGGGAAAAGAGAAATACTTCACATTCCAGATCTGTTCAGATTAAATTATAGATTTAATGATATATAACAAATGCTATATAAATCTATATAGTATAAATATAGATGTAATAATAGATTTTAAATATAGCTAAAAGGCAACAGTTGAAAGATGAAATTACCTTTGTTTCTAAGCCCAGACATGCTTGTGTCATGTCATTAGTGAAATAAGTTTAATACATTCAGATAAAATCTGATATTTATGATTATACTTTTCCTTCAGCTTTATTTCAAAATGACAGATGCTTGATTTGGGAACACTTGGCAATGTTAAGACTTCTAAAATAATGATATGATGACTGATACAAAGATGATGACTGTTCTTTTTCGTTTTATCATAGAATCATAGAATGATTAGGGTTGGAAGGGACCTCAAAGATCATCTAGTTCCAACCCCCCTGCCATGGGCAGGGAAACCCTCCACTACACCATGTTGCTCAAAGCCTCATCCAACCTGGCCTTGAACACTTCCAGGGATGGGGCATCTACAATTTCTAGTTTTGTGTATATAAAGTGCAAAATCACCTGCAAACTGAGCTAAAAATTTTATGTCTTGGAAACATTTACATCTTTCTTCTGTATATTTTTCTAGACCTTATGTCAAGAACCATGGAAAAGTTATGGACATGTTTTCAATAAAAAGCAAATATGGAAATGGTGTTTGAATGGTCTAGAGTAAATTTTGTAGTAATGTTTTTGCATTTGTATTGGAGAATTTCTCACTTTGACTAAATAAGTTATAAATTCAATGTATTTGTTATCTGTACTTTAGTACATGACAGTTTTGTGATAAAGAAGAGGTCGGGACTGAAACATTTCATGTCTATTGTACACTAAACTATTCATGTTCTTTGCATGATAAGTTACACTGAACATTGATGGAACAGAATTTGTGCACTGCTCTAACAGAAAATAATTCTGCAAAGAAATAAATAACACATAGACCATTTTTATCTTTTATTGTTAATTAATAATTTGTATTTTGGTTATATTAGTTATTGCTTTGCTGGACTGAATTGAAAATTATTACATATTTGTGTGAATATCTGGCTTTTCAGAGTGAAAGTTTGTAGCAAGTCTTGAAGACACAACAACCTCAGTTTGCATTTTCACTAGATAATCAAATTAAATCCAGTTTTGGTAAGATCTCTGATCCCAGCAAGCTTGAATATTCCCATTGTACTATTTTGGTATAAATACTTAGGAAAGCAGAGGAAAATAAAAATCAAACAGAAAATATGATTTTTTAATAATTCAAGCTATATCTAAAGGAAAGTTCCAGGGAACTGAAACCATGGCAAGTACTGGGGAAAGATAATGAAAATATTAGCATATCAAAAAACTTAAAAAGTGGAATTTAAATGCATCCTCGACCTATACTATTTTTTTATCTGTTTTGTCATTCTCCTGTAATGTTAAAGCTAGGAGTATTAAACTGTCCTTTTTACTTTTTTGTATATTTGTGACAGCTAGAGGTGTTTCATGAGTGTGCACTTCTTAGAAAGTCCAATGATATATTAAAAGTCTTTTATTGCATGGGTCTAAAATTACACAAAACAATTACATGAGAAGATTAATATTTTTTGAAGAATCTCATTCTGTCTGTCCTGGAAGTCAAAGGAAAACAGGCTACAACTGAAAGGGATTGTACCCCTAATACTTTATAGATGTATCAGTTATTTTCAACGTTATCTAGATTGCTCTTTGACCTATGTGCAATAGCTTTTTTCTTTTGTATCTGAGAGTAAAAAATATCCTATTCACTTAAGTGTCATACTGTTTTTTAATATCATAGAATCATAGAATAGTTAGAGTTGGAAGGGACCTCAAAAATCATCTAGTTCCAACCCCCTGCCATGGGCAGGGAAACCCTCCACTACACCAGGTTGCCCAAAGCCTCATCCAACCTCGCCTTGAACATTTCCAGGGATGGAGCGGGCAGCTAGAGCTTCTCTGGGCAACCTGTTCCAGTGCCTCACCACCCTCAATGTAAAAAATTTCTTCCTTATATCTAATCGAAATCTCCCCTCTTTCAGTTTAAAGCCATTGCCCCTTGTTCTATCACTACATGCCCTTGGAAAAAGTCCCTCTCCAGCTTTCCTGTAGGCCCCCTTTAAGTACTGGAAGGCTACAATAAGATCACCCTGGAGCCTTCTCTTCTCCAGGCTGAACAACCCCAACTCTCTCAGCCTGTCTTCATAGGAGATATGTTCCAGCCCTCAGATCGTCTTCATGGCCCTCCTCTGGACCCGCTCCAGTAGCTCCATTTCCTTCTTGTGGTGGGGACTCCAGAGCTGAATACAGTATTCCAGGTGGGGTCTCACAAGAGCTGAGTAGAGGGGCAGAATCACCTCCCTTGACCTGCTGGCCACACTTCTTTGGATGCAGCCCAGGATACGGTTGGCTTTCTGGGCTGCAAGCGCACATTGCCAGCTCATGTTGAGCTTCTCATCCACCAGCACTCCCATGTCCTTTTCGTCAGGGCTGCTCTCAATCCTTTCTCCGCCCAGCCTGTACTTGTGCTTGGGACTGCCCTGACCTACATGCAGGACGCTGCACTTGGCCTTGTTGAACTTCGTGAGGTTCTCACAGGCCCACCTCTCCAGCCTGTCAAGATCCCTCTGGATGGCATCCCTTCCCTCCAGCGTGTCCACAACACCACACAACTTGGTGTCATCTGCAAACTTGCTGAGGTTCCACTCGATCCCACTGTCCATGTCACCAACAAAGATGTTAAATAGCACTGGCCCCAGTACTGATGCCTGAGGAACACCACTCGTCACTGGCCTTCACTTGAGCATTGAACCGTTGACCACAACTCTTTGAGTGCGACCATCCAGCCAATTCCTTATCCACCGAGTGGTCCATCCATCAGAACCATGTCTTTCCAGTTTAGAGACAAGGATGTCGTGTGGGACAGTATCAAATGCTTTGGATAAGTCCAGGTAGATGATGTCAGTTGCTCTTCCCCTATCCATCAATGCCGTAACCTCATCATAGAAGGACACCAAATTAGTCAGGCAGGCTTTGCCCTTAGTGAAGCCATGTTGCCTGTCACCAATCGCCTCCTTATTTTCTATGTGCCTTAGCATAGTTGCCAGGAGGATCTGCTCCATGATCTTGCCGGGCACAGAGGTGAGACTGACAAAGAAAAACAGTGTAATATTCAGGTTTACAAATATATTACCTAACTATTCCTAGTCCAAGGAGTTTGTATTCTGCAATTTATGTGAATTGTGTTCATGATTGCTTAATTTCTTTGCAGCACTAAGTTTGTCTCCAAGCTTTAGATACCTTTATCAAGTATTGGTGTGTGGTACTGAATCAAAAATATTATAAGAAGTAGGCACTTGCCTGAGGTCACAAGTGCAATGAGTTCTGCCTTTGCCTGGTAATTCTGAAGATCCTAAAGCACTACAGTATAGCTAGCATTTAACCAATCTCTGAAGAAGGAAGTAATTATTTAATATACCTGAAGAGTGGTTTCAAAACCGTTGTAAGTTGATGTTGTATGGCTAAACTATTTTTATTAAAGTAATAATGATTTTTTTTTTCTGTTTTGTATGTGATATAGCTTCAATGGCTTTTAGACAACTATGAAACTGCAGAAGGAGTGAGCCTTCCAAGAAGTACTCTTTACAACCATTACTTACGACATTGTCAGGAACACAAGTTGGATCCAGTCAATGCTGCCTCCTTTGGAAAACTCATACGGTCAATCTTCATGGGATTACGAACCAGAAGACTTGGAACTAGGTTTGTGTTACTGAAATCCTGAACTATAGAAAATACAAGTAATAATTATGAATAGGAAACTTGGCTGCTAGTCAAAAAATAAATAATACCTGTATTTAAATATTGCAGTGGTTTTCTGTCAGTTCTGTCTCTTAAACAGATTTGTGCTTTTCCAGATGTTACTGTACTTTCACATCTCCTGTTTTTGTCTTTTTATGTGTTTACATTTTGATAAATACACTGCAGATTTTTATCAGTACTAATAAAATGTAGCTTGTTTGGAAATTACTAAGAATTGTATTTCTCCATGACCAGATAAGTTATATTTATTTGCATTTTATTTTTCTTACTGAAGAGGATTACAAGTTAAAATACCGGATAAGAGAGTGAATTAATTGTTTAAGAGAGTGAATTAATTTCCTAAAGGTAGTAAAATTACACTGATGTGAAACAGTATGAAAGGAGAATCAGACCTGATTTGTGGGTATTATTTTCCAGTCAATGTAAATTGTAAAGTAAATGTAATGTAGATGCATAAAACTGGCGTTCCTGTTCTTTTACTTCTTTCTCTTTCATAAAGAGGGAACTCCAAATATCATTACTATGGGATTCGTGTCAAGCCAGACTCTCCTCTTAATCGACTGCAAGAAGACATGCAATATATGGCTATGAGACAACAGCCCATGCAGCAGAAGCAGAGGTAAATTGTGAAATGAACATGAGTACTTATTGGTATTTTTAGTTCATAAAGCCTTACTTTGAGTTGAAATTCTAAAGGAACTTTTATTCAGCTTCTCTGCTGTGAAAAATCAAGGTTTGCTGGATAGTCAGTTGAGGTTGCTGAAGTTAGATATCAGACAACATGAAAGAATACTTACCTAGAAATTGCCATAAATTTGCAGAAGTAATAATCATAAAGTGAGATATGATATGAACAGACTATTCTTAACCATCCTGAGTTCTTATCCCAAAGCTGAAGAAAAGCAGTAAGAGCTTGAATTTGAAATTTTCCTGTTTGTTTTCATTACTGTAACATTTTTCATATAAGCTGCTTTTAAGAGAGCATATGGTTTTCAGTTTGGTGTTTATTTCTTCTCCTTGTGAAGAATTAATGTGACCATAATGGTTTACCTGTAAGCTGATTTAAGTATTTTCCCTCAACATCTGTTGTTCTTGAGAATCCTGTGAAAGCTCAGGAGTATTTGAAAGCAGTGACACAGTGACCACAAAGGGCTATGCTGGTGGTGCCAGAATGTGTGAATATGCATATGAAAAACTATCTTGAACAGAAAATTTTAGGAAAGAAGTGGAAATCAGTAGACTTCTTGGAAATTAATTTTTATTTGATTGATGTCACAAGCCTCCCATATTACCCTTAAGTTAAATATCCAAGTTGTATGGTTTCCTGAAACTCATAGGTAGAACAGCAGCATACCAAGCAAAACATCTTTAGAGCTATTGCCCTTGCCAAATCCAATTAAATGAACAGCTTACTATAGTGTACTAAGCATATTTTGTTGCCTTGCACACACTTGGGATATGGAAAACACCTTTAACTTCAAACACAGATATCACTTTAATCTGGAATAATTTTACTATCGCTTCCAGAAGTAGTTACAGCACTAAATACATATTCATGGTAATTCATGTGATCTTAACTATCTGCTGGGCATTATATGGAAGCATGAGATGTCTCCCAATATAATAAGGCAGGAAATTCTTGTTACAAAAATCACCACAGAATTATATGGTAAGAAATGGTGTTAGATATTTACAAAATATCCAAGCAAGATTTTTTCACTCACTCAAACTCATTCACTTACAGATTTTGTTCACTCACACTCAAAATCACATGTATGCACCAAGATGTATGCCACGATCTTCTAACTAGAATTGTTTCTGTGAAATTGTTTCTGGAGAAATTATGCCAGTTACGTAATCATCATTGCCTCTCTTGTCTTCTTCTTGATTCACAATGACAAAGTGATCTTGAACTTGCATTAGGTAACTTGTAGGAGTGGATACTACTTTTCTTTATTATTTGCTTTATTATTTTGTTTAATACCACTATATGCCTTATGTAGTTCCCTTATTTTCCTTACCTAGGTACGTTTGTTGACGTTTTCTTAACATTCTCTTTTATGTCAGTTTGTGATTGTATTTAAAAGAAATCACACATAGGGCATTGTGTAGTGATTAATGCATACTTTACTTTTCTTTTAACCCATGTTTTGCACATGCACACACATACATGCACAAGCTCCTATTCATACTCAATTCATACCAATCTTAAGCTCTGCTGTGAGAATCTGTAAAGATATTGATAAGGATGGGAACTACAAGACATTGGATAATTCTGCTGAATAGGTAGCTGTTACATGGAATACGTAAAATTCAGAGATCAAGGGGCTAGTCAGACTTTGACAATTGCACTGTGAAAAATGTCCCTGCTTTGCATACTTTCAAACATACTAGCGATACTGAATAGGATATAGAAATTTTCAGAATGAAAATGTTTATCCAAAAAGATATAGGAGATTTTAATTGAAAAATGGAAAATCATGAGCCACTATTACTTTAACTTTCTTATTCATGCTTATCTAAACCTGAAAACTACAAAAATTTCTAATAGAAACAGACATTTTTAAAACCAAGTGTGATGATTCCAGTTTTGTCTCATTGGAATGTGCTGATTATAATAGTAATTTTAGAAAAAGATTTAACAAATGTATTAAATGATTCCACAGTCTAGCCTGTTTACTTCATTACAGCCACTCTCTACCACGCAGCAATCTTGAGCTTTAGTTCATTCTTCTCTCATTGTAGCCTTACTTTTTAATTTTAGGGTAGTCTTGGATCACACAATGTTAAGCTTTATTCCACATTCTTGAAAAAAAAATGTCTGTATATTTTGCTTGGTAAATCTTAATGGAAACTGAGACATGCTTGTGTTTTGTAGCCCTCAGAAGCTAGGGTTTTGGGGAAAAAAAGGAAAGCTAAATGTAAAAACGGTTTGACTTAAAACTTCCAATGCATAATTTAAAAAGTGAACTTGTGTTTTTGAAATTAGATTTTTCCCCACATTTACAGAACATATTTAGTATCTAATTTCAATGTTTGATATAGATCTGTATGTATTTTTAATCATAGTTATCCTACTGTATTGAAAAATCCTAGCAGTATTTATTAAGAGATAATTAAAGGACTGAATATTATAATTTGCATGATTAGGGCAACATGGCTTTTTCTCCAGCTTTATTAATATTTCTAATATTTCTTTTGTCCTTTAAATCAGGGGTAAATTCCAGTCAATATGCTTTTTCTGTGTAGTAAAACCAATTCTACCACTTCTGTCAGACGCATCTAATTGGATAAACACTTCTAGTCCATTTTGACAAAGACTGTAGACTGAATGTATGCTACAGATCACTTTTGATTTGTTCCTTTTCTTAATTTGAGAGTCATGCACCTTTTCTATTTTAATAACTTGAATATCCCAAAGTGCTCTTGTATGTTCATGTTCAGAGTTTCTTCTGGGCTTGAATTCAAAGGTCTGAGATTTATCAGACGTAAATTTCAGATAGAAAGTAACGCTGTTAGTTGCTTAGTCTTGGCTGTGATCAGGGTAAGCTGTGGGAGTACTCTTTCTTTGTTCCAATAAGGAAAAAACACAGAGTAACTACAGATCACAGATGCCAACAGTCCTATCTTCCAGCTGAGACAGTGATTTGGCATCAACAACCACATATCAAGACACTTTAAGTACCTTTGAACTGGAGTGAAGAAGTGCACAACTGATGACTAGTCTTAGGTAGAAGATAATAGCTAACAGCCTGCCTTTCAACTGGACCGGCTGTAGGGCTCAGACTTGGAAGGGAAGGCCTTGCTTGCCTCTGTCATCCTGCTCCTAGATATTTTCCAGGGTAGGAAAAAACAGGATATTTGAACGGTTATATTATTCATCAGTTCTGGATCAAACACAGTCCTGTCTAAAAGCGAATGGACATCAGACAAAGATTGCTAGGAAGAAATAATATCCAACCCAAATATTATGCCAAATATATTTGCACAGTTTTAAGTCTGGCACTAAACACTTGCCACTTTAAATTAGTACAATCTTACTATGAAATCTCTTTTCCATAAGCATTCCTTGTCAGACCGTTCAAGGGAAATGTATCAGAGATACAATTCCTCAAGTTAATTTCCATTTTTAGCCTGTTTTTATTTAGCTCTCCGTGACTGGAAGCTTGTGCCTCAGAAGCTGAATTATTTTTATGACTTAGTCTAGGGAAACTGATACAGGAATACTTGTCTTTTCTTTAGGGCATTCATAGCAATGTATATTTTAAATTCTATTTCCGGAATTAAACCTCTAGCTTTCCAAGTTAATTTCAAATATATCTTTCAGTTCTAGAACACAATGATTATACCTTTTTGCTTTCATTTATGGGAGCTGAACATTCAGCTAAGATTTTTTTTTAATAAATACAATAGCTGCATTGTTATCTACTGTACATTATAATATTCAGCTAACACATATATTATTGTTCTAACCAGAAATCATTAATCACTACTTTCTATAGATGTTGTTTACCCTATGTATTTATTTTATGTAGAAAATAATATGTATTTTTCTACTGTTCTCTTTCTTGTATTCTCATGTTTCCTGGATATACTGTTCATTCAAACCAAGCCACTGTGAGTCCAAATCATGAAGTATTAATAGATGTTTTTAAAAACGGGCTTGAATTTATGGACAACAGAGAAATTATGCATTTTTATAGTGGTACTATTTTTGAAGACAGAGAGCAAGGTATCATAGTGCAACAAATACTGTCATCTCTAAAACTGAGCTACCAGTTTGTTAAGACACAATGTCCTAAAACGATAATAAGAGAACTCATATGATAAACTACTAAACAACTTCCTAATGGAGTAGTTCAGAAAAAAATCACAGTCTTTCTCAAACAACCACAGGTATTTTGTGTACAGTGTGGTTATGATGCTGAGGTGATGGTGCCTTAAAATCTAGGAAGTTCTGCTCAGGCTTTTAGATTAGAAGTATCTCAACAATGCTTGTTGGACCAAGGAGAGATGTTTTAAAAGCATACATATGAAATTTTCATTCCTCAAATTTCTTGACAATTTCACCTTACTTGATTTTAGGTAATCATGCTTTTATTGCAATATAGCCTCCACATTATTTTTGAGACATTGTGATGTATGCACAACAGTATACTCTGAAGTGTTTTTATTTTCTTCAACACTAGAAAGAAACTAATACAAACTTGGTCTACACACCAAAACTTTCTGATAGCATCCGAATGCTTTTCAGGTATTTCTTTTTTATTTACAGGTTTTGCATCTTCAATAATTTTTTTAAGCTTTTGAGTTTCTTCAGTTTTCCTGTAGTTAACAGCTTTAGTATGTGTTGCCTGTGGTGATGCAAGCTGTTTGAGTCAGCTTTTGTTTTCTGCTAATTTAAAAAGCTGATTTTTTTTTTTCCCTGGTAGCATCAATGGTAACATTTTATTTGCATACAGTAGTAAAATGCTTTAACTACTTCACACATTGTTATGCATAAGTCACCATTTTTGGTGCCATTTTGGTACCATAGTTTGGTACATTAACTCACTTCTCACAGACTTCAGTGAACTCCTAGTGATAAATCACAATAATAGATTCAAAATAAAAATAAAATAGAAGCGAATACTTAGAGCTTAGTTCTATTTCTTTCTAGAACCCTACAATTTGTTTTTTAGCAAGCTAGAAGGATGGAAACCTTAGCTTTAAAAGAAAAAGAGAGAATATTATAAATTGCTTAACAGAATGAGTTGGAAATATTCAGAAAAATACTAGATTCTAAGGCTTAGAGAAAAATCCAAATAGTGGCAGCATGACAACAGTACACGCAAACAACAAAATCTGCAGAAAATTTATCTGAAAAAGCTGCTTTCTGTTTTTTGTCTGTTTTTTTGACTTAGCTGATCCATTTTGGCTTCTCATAAGTTTGAAAGTTTTCAGGTTGTTTCTTTTCCCTACCGATTTCATATGTGTGTTTCAAATCAAGCAGCCATTTTATTATACTTCCCCTTTCTGCTTTACTTTATTAATGCCTATGGATAGTTTGCTGCACATGAATTTTAGTCAGGAAGTTGTTAATCTGTTCTACAGTGAGAGAGGAAGTTTCTGTTAATGAAATTATGTCACAGACTATAGAAGTCAGTGAATCTGTATTCTAAATTAACTGTGAATTGAGACCAGCATATCATTCAGTGTAACTTCTGAATTACCTGATTGTGTTACCGAAAATCCGGAATAAGAAACTTATCAACACCAATGGGATGTAGATAAGCAGACACTTCTTTATTGCGGCGCCGGGTGCACGGGGGATATCTCCTCCTAGCGTGCGCACCTTGCACCAAAATTAAACTTCTTATATAGAGCTTACACATGCATAAACAAATTATTTCTCGAATATCATTAGCATATTCTTCCCCTATTTCCGATTCTGCGCAATAAAATTTAGAATCATCTGGAAATGAGTCTGGGGTATAATATGGGTAGGTGGTCTATGAGTCGGTGGTCGTGATCTCCCCCTGCCGGAATTACATTTTGCTTAAGTTCACAGTTTCTGGTAATTACCTCATGGTTTCTTGGCAAGTACCCATAACTCGTTAAGGCTGGCCTTCTTCATTCTCATTGACCCAAACCTTGATAGCTACATGCATTCTTCTAGTTGTATGTAAGTAGCATAAATCAATGGGTAGGTCAACTTGTACTTGTTATCTAATTTCTACATGATTCTAACTTATCCCTTTGGTCTTGGTACAGGATTATACAAAGACTTTCATAGCAGCATCTGGTTACTGTACGAGCATACTTTTCATTGAAATATTTCTTATAGCTTTATATTATTGAAATCAATTGCAACCTATATTAATTACAAACTATTGATTAAATTCTAATTACTAAAATTCTAAGTATCAGTAACAATTGCATGTTCTGATTTCAGTGGTTTAGGTTTTTTTTTTTATTTTCATAACTTTGCACAAATTGCGAAAATGTCTGTTTTTCACTGAAGTCTTTGCAAACTTTTACTGTGTTTATGCTAACCTATGTAAAATTAAGATGGTGTCCTTTCTGGGTCACATATCATTAGAAAGCTGTAATATTCATGTAAGGTCAGTTATTATTTTCTGCTCCCAATCTCCTAGCACCTAGTAATTTAAAAGAAAAGAGTGAAAGATTAGGTAAGGTATAGGTGAGCAGAGTGTAAAATAGGGAAATAGAGTAGAAGTCTGGATAATTTTAGAAAATGTAACTCTTAGCAGTTAGGAAATTGTAGCTTTTTCTATTCACCAAAAATGGCCCATATTTAACTAAAGAATTCTGGAGAGCTGTTTGATGTCCAAACTGCCAAAGTTCTACTTGTATATTAAAGATAGCACATCTAAAATAATGAACCATGGTCTGCTTATGTTTCATCTGAAGCTTCTGAAGAAGAATTTTTTTTCTTTTTTTTGATTCTTTGATATTGTTTTGCCAGTGATTTTCTCATGCTATCGAAACTGGTTAACTCCAGTTACCTGTTATATGGCCAGAATTAAGAATTTTGCCTGGCATATTTTAAGGAAAGCACAGTGGAGTCAGTAGGTGGATAATCCTGATTCCTAGCAACAAAGGATTAAGTTGGCTTTTATACTTTAATTAAAAGGGTTTTTTGCATAACTGAAAAACTCTTAGAGGAGTGTTATTTTTATGTATTCAAAACATTTTGAATCCTGTTTCAGGAGCTGAAGGGTCAGTAAAATAATACATTTTGCGTAAAGTAATGGGACTATCTTAAAGTATAGTTTAGATTACAAATATTTCTAGAAGTTGATCCGCTGCCTGGTATTTGTAATTATACTGTATAATGAGAGAGAACTTAACAATTCTTCCCAGATGAACTGCTTGGATTGCAGGTAGATTTATCAAATAATAACAGGCTCATCCAGAAGAATTCAGTGCTACCATGATACCATAGATGAAATTTTATTTTTTGTTAAAGTTGATTAGAGTTTCACTTGTCTTCAACAGGCATAGGATTTTACACTGCACCATTACAGAAATCAAAAATTGATATCAATTTCCTTTTGATAGGATAGGTATAGATGTATTCTTTTTTCTCAAGCATTGTGTCCTGATTTTGACTGGGACAGAGTTAGTTTTTCTTTTTAGCAGTTAGAGGAGTTCTGTGTTTTGGATTTAGTCTGGGATTCACTATGTGAAGAATGTTGATAGCGCACTGATGTTTATAGTTGGTACTGAGACGTCAAGGACCTTTCAGCTTCCTGTGTTTTGCCAGTGTGCAGGAGCACAACAGGCTGGAGGAGGTGGGAGAAGGATCCACAAATCCCCTCATAATTTGAATGTAGACTTAGGATTGAGGGCTAAATTGGCCAATGAGGTATTTCATATCATGCAACGTCATGCCCAATACATAGATGAGGATTGACTGGGAAGTTGGTCTGATGGCATTCTCTTCTGTGGGACTCTCTCTCGGTCTCTGGGAGTTCTGTCTCTCTCTCTTGCTTCCCTCTCTCTCGCTCTCTTGTTGGGTTTCTCACTCATCTGGGATTGCAGTGTTGGGACTTATCTGTTTTGGGGTAAGTCACCTGCCGGGACAAGACAGTTGTTGGTCCCCAAGTGGTGAGCAATTACACTATGCATCACTTGTTTGTGTATATTATTGCTATTTTAATATATCTCTCTCCATTTATTATTATAGCTTTTTTTTTTTTTTCTTGTCTCAACCCACGAGTCTTCCCTTTTCCTCTTTAATTCTCTTCCCTGTACTCCAGGGGTGGGGGAGGGTGACTGAGCAGCTTCATATCGTTTAGTTGCCAGCTGTGTTAAACCTTGACACATTGAAATTCCTAAAGTTGTAAAACCATTTGTTAATCAGGCCAGGAGTCTTTCTGTTGAGAAGTGACCTTTCTGTCTGTCTTTTGTTATTTTCTATTTAGATTGATATCAGGAACACCCAGAATATTGAACTGATGTTTTTCGTGGGAACTTCCTTTTGAAGTAAAATCACAGTAATTACACAAGACAATACTGGTTTATGTTTACTGGAAACAAAATGAAATGTTCCCAACTGACTAAACTGCTTCTCAAAGTGATGCATCAAGAGTGGAATTTCTTGTCCCATTTCTCAAGTTAGCATGGAGTTTTACAGTCTGCACGATTCCAATTTGAGTGATCATTAAAACACACTTTATTTAGCTTTGGGGTTTCTCTTCTTTTCTTTTTCAATGTCTACAATTCTTTTTCAAAAGTACAAGGCATCCAAGATGTTTCCATTAAGTCCTGGGACAGAGGAAATTCTCAGTTGCGTTGGAAGTGAGAGGCGTGATCTTCAGCCTGTCAGACTAATTGTCAAGAGAACATTTGACCATCCGAACCAGCATACTCATTTGTATCATTGTGATTTTTGTCCTTTGCAAAAGATTCTGAGAATTGACTAGTGAAGAGTTTAGGTTTCCAAGTAGCTTTCTCAGGCCTTCTATGCCTATGAGAGAGGTTTGTTTGATTTGAAAAGTCTTTCACTATCCTCAGACAGTAGTGTTGTTTTTTCTTAAGGTAATGAAGCATTATTTTTAAATTACATAATTAGTGGGAAGTCGAGCTATTTGGAAAGGGAAAGATTTGATTCCTTTTGGTGTAAATTAACTGGTCTTATGGTATGCTATCCCTAAGCTAAATTCCACAAGAAATTGGTAGTGGTGCTGTAACATCACCTTTATGAATTCTGTAATGCATAGTTAATGCTCTAGCTTCCCTTAATACTTATTTCTTTTGTTACTTACAAAATAAATAAAAATGTGTAAATTGTTTTGTTACTTTTCCTCAAAATTTTATTTTGAGATGGAGAAACCAGAGTGAATATGGATTGTATGATCTTATTTATGAAGAAGTGAAGAGAAAGGATAATTTTATACTTGATATTTTTGTAGGTATAAGCCTATGCAGAAAGTGGATGGAGTTGGAGATGGCTTCACAGGAAGTGGTCAACAGACAGGCACATCTGTTGAGCAAACTGTAATTGCCCAAAGTCAACATCACCAACAGTTTTTAGGTAAGAAAGCAGGTTTTATACTGCTGTGTAAACAAGTAAGATGAACTTCATCAACTTCTGGCTTAATTTGTTCACAGTTTCAACATACAACAGGTATGAAAGACTTTTCTCTTTGAACGTTATGACCCTTTGGAATTCATATCTTTGTATCATCTTTAAATTTTTTCTTAATCATACTGTAACTGGCAGTGTTCATAATAGCCCTCTTTCATTATGTTTCTTGGAAACAGATGCATCTCGAGTACTTCCAGAGTTTGGAGAAGTTGAAATATCTTCTCTACCAGATGGTACTACCTTTGAGGACATCAAATCACTGCAGACTCTTTATCGGGAGCATTGTGAGGTATTTCCTATAAACCATTTATTTTTTGAAGTTCACGATTTCTGGTGAAGGTCAGTACAAGACAGTAATGCAAAATATATTGCAGCCATTTTAGTGGTGTGTGACTTTCCCTCCCCCAGGATATTTTGCTTATTTAATTGGAAAGGACATTAGTAAAAAGGGTTTTCTGGAGGGTGCCCTTTACAGGGGAAATAAATAATATAGAATAGACACTGAGAATGAAATGTAGTTATGTGTATGTTTTCACAATGTTAGAGAAACTAGACGTCAGATTGTACGTGCAGTTCTTTGGTTTAGTCAACAGGAAATGTAAATCAGGTTAATTTATAATTTTTTACATTAAAAGCAGTAACTTTTTTCTCATTTTAAAGAAAGATTGAGGTGCTTAAGCCACATTTGATATTGAATAATATGTCTTTGAAAATTATTTTTTAAGGTGCTTTCTTACCTTTGTTGAACTATGAAAATGATCAAAATGGCAGCTTTCCTTTGTGTTTGCAGTAGCATTAAATACGTTGTTTTGGTGAATTCCTCTGCTATGTTTACATAGGCCATGCTCATTTCTGGAGGCTGCCACATGTGTGCACTGGGCCTTACTCAAATCCTTGTGCGCTCCAGTTTATAGTGCTGGATAATTTATGGCTATCAAAAGTGTTAAAACAGATATTATTTGTAACTTGAGAAATGTACAGTTTACATTTGCTCCACTACATGATGAAGGAAAAAAAGCTATAGATCTAGTTGGAGTTGGGAGTAGGGGCAAGCTGGGTAGAAGACAATCTGTACTCGTGTTTTATTTTCTCAGGCAATACTGGATGTGGTTGTGAATCTTCAATTCAGCCTGATAGAAAAATTGTGGCAAACTTTCTGGCGCTATTCTCCCTCTGCTCCATCTGATGGCACTACTGTTACTGAACCAAGGTCAGTAAATGTTTATTTTTGCTTACTGCCTCTCATGATAATATGATACAGGCATCAAGTAAAAAAAAATCTTACTGGTTTTACCTGAAGATAAATATTTTTTTTAAAATGCTAATTTTTCAGATTAAATTCATGTTGTCTGGCATTTTTGTATAGGCTGAGTGTATGCCAAAGTGCAGTCTTGAAACAATTGTGTCGTCCATTTTTTAATTTGTTTGAGCAAGTGCAGTAGAGGTGTCTTTTCCTAGTATTCTGTCCAGTTCTTTTAAGCCAAAAGGATCATTCGTACCTCTGCATAATTTATGGGCCTTAGCAGAGCTATAGAGGCACTTTAAAAATCCATTTCCATGTGTAAAATATGTGTAAAGAAATCCATTGCAGAAAGAAGTTATGTTGGGTGTAGTTGAGACATCTATGACATCTTCATAAAAGAATACATTTTAACACCCATTACAGGTTTTTTTTCTGCTATAAGTGTATTGTCATTTATTTGTTTGTTACATTTTTTCACACCAGCAATCTGAGTGAAATAGAAAGTCGACTTCCAAAAGCAAAGCTGATTACTCTGTGCAAGAATGAGTCTATTCTGAAATGGATGTGTAACTGTGACCATGTGATGTACCAGGCTTTGGTGGAGATTCTCATTCCTGATGTCCTTAGACCTATTCCTAGTAAGTAGCACACCTCAAACATTTTGTAAGGATTTTTGTGCATGCATGTGTATTGTGGTGGTGGTCTTATGTGTCACAGGGCAGCTTTAGGAATAAGTTTGAAAGTTAGGATGTATTGGGTATCATTTATCCTTAATTTTGTTGTGTAGGAAGTTGTGCTGAGAGTTGATGTATCCTTTGTATTTTAAAAGTAACTGAGGATTTCAGTGCAGTTGGAAGATCTAGTTTTCAAGACATAGTTTCATATTAAAGGTACTTCTTTCTCCATGTGTTGTATTTTCAGATAAAAATGTTTTCCTTTTACCCTGGCTCTAGACTACCTGATAGACTTAGACCCTGAGCCAATGTGTATTAATGTCACTTAGTCTTTCCACTAAATTCAGTAGTTTTTAGTTTAAACATTACCTATTAAGCTTTGATTAGTCTGAAAAAAAAAAAAATCTTTGTAATACTATTTTTGGACAATTAGTCTTTTATTCCTCATCAATGGCTGCTGAAATCAATTTTAATGACTGTTAAGACAATGAAAAATTAACTCTGAAATTTGTAGTTCAATTTATTATTCCAATCTACTGTTCTTTCTGTCATACATCCTGCATGAAAGAGTCAGTAACTATCCAGCCATTCAACCATTACCAGGAGTACATCTTTCTTTTCAAAGTTAATTTTACTAGAATCCATCGTTTCTCCAGCGGTGTATTGTTACAGCTATTTTTGGTAGAAAATGAATGTATGTGAAAAAAGTTTAACTCCTTTATGAACTCCTCGCATATGTTGTGCTAAATATTATAAAGAAATCATGTTAGCAACCCACTATTAACTTTGTAACTCCTATATATTATACCCTTTCTCTGAAAAAACAGTATTCACTTTATAAAGTAGGATTAATATTTTTTTAAAAATCAGGGCCTTAAGTCACTTTGCAGTTAACAAAGCTTTTTTCATGCTGTGAACACCTCTTCTGCTATAGTGACTCCAGCAGTAGTAAGCATTCTATGAGAATATTTGCAGAAAAGTTTTATTGACTTTTTCCTTATCAGTGAAATAAAATTAGGTTTTATTAAATTATGCATGATACAAAAAAATTTTTTGGAACTGAAAATATATAAAATCTGAAGTTGACCATTTGCAAAGGCAGTTTTACCTTTTTTGTAAGGACAGAGTAAGTAAGAGATTGACGTATTTTTTATTTTAACCAATGTAGAAGAATAAAGGAAAAATGTTTTCTCAAATACGTGCAATTATTGACAGCCAGCCGATACTTGTATAGATTATTTTGCATTAGTTTATATTTGTTGTTCTCCTTTTCTATGTAATGACAATGTAAGTAGGCAGGATGTTATTTTCAGAGTAATATAGTCTATAACAAGTGAATAGGCAATGATAAAAACCCTCATAATTTAATTATAACATTTAATAGGTTGAATTAAATCTCTCTCTTCCAAAAGCACATTATTTTCTGAATAAGAAGGTGGTGCAAACACAGTTTTTCATCAAACCTGCCTTTCACCTTTCTTTTCACTTGCTTGTCCTACACAGCCTGGCAGTTTCTAAAGAAGTTTCTATATGATAGCTCCTCAGCTTATGGTGTCTTCTTGCCTTGTTTCATGAGATACATTGGGCATTGCCAGTACAGAGTTTCAAGAAAATGGGACACTATCATTTCATATCAATAACTACAGGCATCAGGTCCTTTTCATGCTATTTCATTCTTTACAGAATTACCAGTCATATTTGAATAATTCATACCTACTGTGTTTGACATTCCTGTTTTTAGGATGACTATCAGAATTCTCGATGCAAACACATGATCTAATCCAAGGATAAATTCATCTGCCTCTTATTTTGTGAACAGTCGAGTGGTTTTCTGGTCAGAAGTCCAGCCACTGAGCTACCTGTGGAAGGCAGATATTATATTTTCTTATTTTTATGTTTAGGACAAGCTAATGCTTTTTCTAGTCAGCCTTGCTTCAATGATGGTCCATACAAGTTCTCTCTTCACTGTTAAATATTTAAAATATTATTAGTGTTTTAACTCCTGCTTTTTAATTAAAATATCTCCAGCCATTACAAGACAGCAAGAGGAAGGCTTAAGATTGTGCTTACTGGTTGACTATGACAATAATGGAGCTGGGTGAAGTAGACAAATTCATGGTCTTCTGTGGGAAAATAGCAGTTTATAGGAAATTTGGACTCTGTAGATGGAAGAGTACTGTAAATGCTTCATGAAAAGCATATTATGACTTTTTTTCCTGAATAAGTGGTAAGATATTGACAGCAGCTGCTCAAAATAGACAAAATAAATAATTTGGAAAGTGCTTGAAGTAAGCATATGATTTTTTAGGCTTTATCTTTCTTCATGTCTAGATTTTCAGTGTTTTTCTTTTAGAAGAGTCTAACTGTGCTACTCAGCTGCATGATACATATTACTGGAATAGAAAAAAAATTACCACTGAGGAAAAAAATGTTTTATTTTTAACCTCTATGTTAAATTTGTCAGCTGAAATATTTAGTACCCACAGAATGAAGGAAGAATTGCTGTGCCTAAAACAGCAAACTTCCTTTTGCTAAGAAAAGTGAAACGCTATCCATTGAGTCAGGAGTAAAGACCATAATTATCTAATGTCTTTGGCAATGGACCAGAGCTATTATGTTTTAGAATGGACTTTTTGCATCTTCACAAGTAACAGAATGGGCAGTAACAAACTTGCTTGTGAGTTAGTTTATATCAGACGTGGACAATTTATGCTAAACGTATTTCTACACTGTATTGCACAATTCCAGGCAGACAAAAATTTAAAGTACTGGAAAGATTGTAAAGCCTTGTTATTATGAGATTTGCATGTCAGTGTTTTCAGCTGAGAACTCCAGCTTTTTAGGTGCTTATCCAAATCAAACTTCCTATCTGTAACTGCCATTGCTACATCATTTAATGTGTATCTAGTGATGTTTAACTAACTCAGGCCAATTATTATGCACTACACTCACCATGTGATTCTTTGAAAGGGTTTTCTTCTTTTTCTATGGTAGCCAGAGGAACTTAGAAGAAGGCTTTGAGGATGTAGGTACTTAAGGTTTTGTTAATGGCTGGATGTGTACTTAAGGGTGGAGTATGAGAAAAATTCTGTATTTAATATGGTATCTCCAAAGCTTATTAGAAATTCATGGTTGTTCTATACAATACTGATGCCGATTATCTACTTTAGCTGTTTTATTTCTTTGGAACTTAGAATTCCTTTCATTTGCTCCTCTTTCTTCCTAGTTTTCCCAGCCTTTCTTAAGACCTGAGCTGCTTTTCCATGTTTATTTTTAAAGGAAATCAACGTTACAGTGATGCAAATAATTCTGTAATATATAGTTGGGTGAAAAAGAGTAAAAAGCAAATTAGAAGTGAAAAAGCAGTAATATTTTCTTTAAATGTCTAAGTATCATTCATACAGTATTTACATTATTCCTTCCACTTTGCATTTTCTTGTTCTATAGGTAAGAAAACGTGAGTGAATACATAGTTAATTAGTAAGTGCACAGAAATTATTTATAAAGCAGCACAAATGAGCTAGGTGATTGACAGGGTTGAAGAAAAAAGCTTGTTCTCCATGAGGAAACCTCAAGGGGGAAAAAACCTTTTTTCCATAGAGTGTTCAGCTAATACAGATACTTGGTAAGAATTAAATTGTGTTCAGCTAAGCATCCAAATGTGTGGTCAGTTATATAAATTGCCGATATGGATTCTACTGCTTATAACTGCAAATTTGAAGACATAAAAAAGATGTCATGAAGAATACGTTTTTTCTTTTAGTAAATTTGCACTGCTAGTAGAAAGCTTTATTAAAAAAGCAATCATCAATCATACAAACAGTAAAAGAGGATTTCTTAAAGACAAGTTCTATCAGTATTATTTCTTACTTACCAGAGTATTCAGCCTTATAAACAGAATCCAGTCATCTTTAGTTGGACTGCATCTTCTCACATGTAGCTAAGAGAGTTCAAAAAGAAATATGATTTCCTCTTTCTAATTTTTTCCTCTTCACTTTTGTAATTGCATTCATTCTCTACTAGTCTTTAGAAACGTGTAGTTTTTTCTTTTTGTCTGCTCCGTTTTGCAACTGTGGATGCTATTGTGTCAATGAGCAAATGATAGGTATAGGAAAGTGAGGTTTCTACTACTCAGGAGATATGATTTTCTTTTTTCCAGTCACAGTTCCTTGGGAAAATACTTCCTGTCCTCCTCCTTTGAAAAATTAAAACTTAAATTCTGAGTAGTGGAGATTGCTATAATGGCTTCTTCGATTTCTCTCTAATCTCTGTCAGCCACTCAGCAGTTCCGTGGGTGCTATAGTAGAGAAAAAAACGCACAGGGATTCCACAGCCATTTGAATAATCTCACTTTCTGTCAGTGAAATACACTCCTACGTCTTGTTTTTGGTGATATCCTTAAGCACTGCATGTTGGATTTTGTTCTTTAAAACTGGAGTGAGCAGCACCATGACTTGGCTAAAGGTTGCTTTGGACTTATTTGATGAAACTGCAGTATTCTGATAACTGGAATTTTTTTCCCAGAGTTTTGCTCTTTAAAAGAGGTGCCTAGATGAAGTGGAAAGCTGGAAGTTTGTGATGGAAATTTCCATCACAACAACTGCGGCAGTTACTGACATTCTTCTATAGGAAGGCCAAAAACAATACGGCTGGTCACAAACTTCTTGAAATATTGTTAGGTGAGAAAGTCAGAACTGCGTATTAAACCAAAACTAAAATAGTAATTGCATAGTCTATATCTGAATGAGACATTTTGAACTTAGAGTGAATTTGTCTTTCAGTAAGTAAATGCAGTGGACCTGAACATTGGGTACATAAGTACTGAGGATGCAAAACATTTCAAGACAGGTATTTTGCTTTCTTTTCATTCTGTTTTTATTCTTTAATGCACAGGTGCCTTGACCCAAGCCATTCGCAATTTTGCAAAAAGCCTTGAAGGTTGGCTTTCAAATGCCATGAACAATATTCCACAGAGGATGATACAAACCAAGGTAGACAAAACTGTTGCAGTATTATTCTTGCAATGGCAAACCAAGTGGGCAGTAGCATCTAAAAGCAGCAGCATTTTAACTTTAATGCTAAATTTCATGTTTAGCATTAAGCATCAAATAATGGAAGAGGAAATAACTTAGTTTTATCAAAAAAATTATGAAGAAAACATTATTTGATCTGCCACATGGACATAAGCCACATATGAGGGCTTATTAATATAGAATATTAAAATGAAGGTAAACACTTGATCTGTAGAATTAATCTACAGATAAAGAGTACAATATTTAAAAATAAATTAATTTCTTCATAGGTTGCCGCTGTAAGTGCCTTTGCCCAGACTCTGCGAAGATACACATCTCTTAATCACCTGGCTCAAGCAGCTCGTGCTGTGCTTCAGAATACTTCTCAGATCAACCAGATGCTCAATGATCTTAACCGTGTTGATTTTGCCAATGTTCAGGTAAAACAGTGCTTTAAATAACAGACTTTTTTTTTTTTTAACAAAAAAGGTGTTATTTCCTCTATGATTTTGAAGTTTAGTGTTAGTTTTCATTATTCTATCCAGAAAGAGAAATGTGAACATTTTACTGATTTAGATATGCAATGATTCAGTCCAAATGTGACAACTTACACTTCAAGATAGTGACAGCTCAGAACCATTATCTGTTTCCATTTAGTGCCTTGAAATGTACATATTCTTCCAATTTCTATGCAAGTGTAGAGCGAATGCATTCTTAGAATGGGTACCATGAACGATGTCTTAGTAATAGCATGAATTATATCTTAGAATTAGATCTCAGATAGCAGCGTAGCTTTTGAATGTCTCTGAAAGCTATTAAATGCACAACATTGTTTTTGGTAGAGACTGTTTCATTATTTCAAAGACAATATCATTAGTATACTGTACCTAAGTGCCTGTGCTTAAATTTACAAGATCTCGTGAGTAATTGATTAGATTACTACAGACTAGAACTAATTTCCAATTAGCTACAAAATGTAAGTTTATATTTTCATTGAGCTTAATTTCTCCACACGTTTCTGCTCCTCTGAGGAAAAGTATTTTTCTTCCTTTTGCCCAGCAAATTGAAATTTTCCAGACTACTGGTGGTTGCATGTTTTTCTCTTATCCTTGTTTATGTACTTATTAATAACGTTAACAAAAGTCAGTCAAGAGTACTTGACCAAAGAGACAGAATATTAAGTATTGCAATATGTTAACATATTAAGTATTGTAATATGTTAACATGGGTACAGAGTCTGTGAATGTTGAGGTGTTAACTTGGCACATGATAGCGGGAGTTTAAGGACATGGCTTGCAGTTAGTGAGTCTTCGTTTTTGTCTCTTAGTTTCTGAATTGACCAGCTAGCCTTATTTAAATTTGATAACATTGACTAAATTGCTTATTATTGTATGCAGAGTGTGTTTCTCCAATTCTATGCAGTTTATGTTGTACTTTAATGTATACTCTGTTGCTGACTATAGTCAGCAAACAAAATAATCCTTCTTTACATACACAGCTTTCTTTTATAAGATGATACTACAGAAATTGTCTTTAAGCTTAACTTCTTCAGAGTGAAAGGAACCTTTCACTTGTTTCTTGCTACTTCTTTTATTACTTCAGCCCCCCATTTAGCTGTTCTTCCTGCTTGCTCTGCCTGCAGTTCCAGAAAAAACTGACAAGTCCCAAATATTTCAGTAGAAGAATAATGAATGAGGAAAATAAAACTCTTTTTTCAAAATGAATATGGAAAACTACTACATGCTTGTGACGTTTCTATTGTTTGTCCTCATTTCTTTATTTGGTCTTCTCTCATATATTATGCTTTTCTCACCCATTTGCTTTCAACAAAATTATGATAGACATAAAAATAAAAACTGCTTCTTAGTTTGCCTAGTAAGTGGGGTTTTTTTTCCTTTACATCCATTGAATTGCTTAATCTTTGAGAAAGAATTACGTTCTGTGCTTTGGCTTATATATCCTTAATTCAAGAGTTGCCATATGCTGTAACAGGAGCAGGCTTCCTGGGTGTGCCAGTGTGATGACAACATGGTTCAGAGACTAGAAACAGATTTCAAGATGACTCTTCAACAGCAGAGCACTCTGGAGCAGTGGGCTGCCTGGCTTGATAATGTAATGATGCAAGCATTGAAACCATATGAAGGAAGACCCAGCTTTCCTAAAGCAGCACGGCAATTTCTCTTAAAATGGTCTTTCTACAGGTAGTATTTAATAGACTTCCAAAACATTCTAACTATTCTGTTATTTGCTGAATTGTTCACTCTAGTAAAATTGACAGATGTAGTATCAAACAGTGGCTGGCTCACTAAGTCAAGAAAAATGTGGGGTTTTTTTGAGAAAATTATTGTTGTTAACCTTGAACTCAGGTCTGCTTGCAAATCAGCAGGGAATTAAACGATCCTGGTTTATTGTTTTAAAGGCCATGTGTGAATGAATGCAGGTGGAATTTTGTCCTGAGTTAGAAATATAATATGAAATACTTGGGTTGAATAACTACACAATTATTAAGCCACTATTTTTAATATTGTTTATTAAAACACTGTGGTATCTATGTTCATTAGATATGGAAGACAAAACCTGTTTTTAATGTATGAAAGAACATTAAGACAAGCATTCCATGTTAGCTGCTTATTGAAACAGTTATCAGAGTAAACCTTGTTCTTTGAAAATTACTGTAGCAACTACTTGCTGAACATACAAGAATTTGTCAATATAATATGTACACAGAAGCCTATCTTTTTGTAATTTTAAGTTTCAAAGTTTTAAAATCATGGCAACTGAAACCTTTGTACTGTGAAGGTGGACACAACAGACACTATTTAAGCATTAGTTTGTTTAAAATCGAATAGTTTTCATACCAATTTAGTTACTTCTGTTTTCAACAAAGTTTTCTTTTTCAACAAAGTTTTCTTTCAAGTTAGGTTTTACACATGCTCAAGTACTGGTAGTTATGCATATATAAACCCAAAGAAAAATGGAAAACAAAACAATCTGGTTATTTGTTATGTAATCCGGTGTTCAACAATACCTTCAGAGAAAGGAGAGAAGCAAATGATTGCCCTTCCTGGACATCTCTTTCTGAAGACACCATAAATCAGACATTTGTGGGTAATGTTGCTTTTGAGAATATTAGTTTTGAGGTGAAATGTCTACATGGATGAGTGTTAAAATGACTATGACATGTAATACATAAATATATATATTTTTCTATTTTCGAATAGCTCAATGGTGATTCGAGATTTAACCTTGCGCAGTGCTGCTAGCTTTGGCTCTTTTCATCTGATCCGCTTGCTTTACGATGAATACATGTTTTACTTAGTAGAACATCGTGTTGCTCAGGCAACAGGAGAGACACCTATTGCAGTTATGGGAGAGGTAAGATAATATATAAGAGACTAGATTGATAGATTTAGTGATGAATTTGGGTATGTGTCTTTGCAAATTTTTTTAAATTGATGTGGAGCTGTAAAATGTTCTGCAATGTAACAATAGATTGGGTTACAAATACATACAACAGTTTCAAACTTGTTCGATTGTTAGAGTACTAAAATCACAATGAATTCGAACAACCAATTATTTCCAAATGAGCTTGCTCCTTTCCAAGTCTGTTTACAGATTCATTCATATGCACAGTTTGAAAAATGTTGATCAAGATAAAACCTCTTTCTAGTTTTTGAGAACAGAATATTTTATGTGAGAATAAAAAAAAAAAAAGAACAGAGTAATAGGAGAACGTTCCTTTACATGGATCTTTTTGCATGGATTTGTGCACACTTTGAATTCCCACATGGATGTTAACACAAGTGAGCTGAGTACCTCCACTGGCTTGAGAAGAATGGTTTGCATGTAGAATTTTGGCTTGTTCACATGCATGTGGTAAAACCAGCACAGACATACACAGAGATTTACAACGTAGTTGATTTTCATACATGCGTTTCAAAGATCCTTGGTTTGAAAACCAGAACAAGAGTCTCGATTCATAACCACTTTTTTATACTCATCTATGGCATCTACAAGGCAACATTTATCTCTTCTCTGTTTTTCCCAGTAGTTCATCTAACCTTTTAATTTGAAGGAGATAGTGAGGAGTGCAAGAATTTTCATCAGAGAATTACACTACAAAAGTGCTGGAAAATTCATGTTTGAAAATATGCTAGATAGTTAATGGGACAGACTTGTTACATTTTTACACTTGGGAATGATTGTATCCTATTCCATGTTACTGAGAAATTGCAAGTCATTTCACAAGTTGATTTGGCATCAGGTAGCATTCTTCCCTCAAGATGTACTGATAGGCTTATTAAATACTATAAATAGATCCTATACTTTCAAGAGAAATTGGAAATGTCTCAGCTTTATTTGCCAAATGATTTTATATCATGTATCATGACCTGTTTCAGAAAAACTAAATAACATTGTTTCTGCTTAGTGACCCACCAATAGTATATTTGCTTAAGCGTCACCTTATATTTGCAGTAAGGTACTGCACAATTACACGGTTACTACATTCTTGTCTTCTTAACAGACATTGTGTATGTTAGACATATATGTAGTGTAGGGTCTTCTAAAACGTTTATCCAAACTGAAGATGGAGATATTAGTAGGAAGTAAGCAACCTGAAACTTCTGGAGGTGAGGGGCAGAATAGAAGTAGTAAATACTCATTAGTGTCTTTTTATGTTTCTGTGTATTCACTGACCATGACTGAAATAAAATGAGGAAGTCTAAGACTATGGTCTGACAAACACTGTAAGACAGTAGAAACTGGTGTTGCAGCTGAGAAAAGCATTCTCATTTTTCTCCCTTCCTTTTCTCCCGGCTTGGGACACAGGTATTGGCAAAATTCTTCTGAAAAAGACTGGTATCATCATTTATGATTATAAAATTCATTTACCTAAATAATGCACTCCTTTCATTTGAGATTCATTGATGGCATTTTGCCCTGATTCTTGTTTAAGAGAAACTTAGAGAATTTGGGGAAGGAAAGGGAGGAAGGTTATACATCTAGCTTGTGAGCAACTTTTTTTTAAAAAGGTCTTTTTTTGATGTCAGTAAATCAGTTATCAGATTGTATACCCTTTCTCAGCAGTGCCTTTCAGCTGCCTTACAGGTAGATTTGCTAGACTGCGACACACCTTCATTTTTGTTCCAGCACAATTAAAGTTATCTCTGGGAAATTTTAAAAAGTTTTTTGTTAAAATACTGACAGTTCAGAATGGATATCCATCATCATTTCTGGCTTTATACAACACAGAAATAGCTCACTTCAAGCATCAAAGACCTGGACAAAGTCATCTTAAAAAAGTTTATACTTTCCCATTTTAATTTTTGAGGGTTTACTTAGTGATAATTGTCTTAATAAGCACAAGACTAGGATGGAATGGAAAATGAATTGCTGTACTGTGGATGTGGCTGCAGCCAAGTTCATGCATTTGAATGCTAGCCTTAAACCAGTGGAGCACAGATCTGCTCCATCACAGATACTCTTAAGTTCACATTTGCTTAAGACTGTGTCCAGATTTTTTATTATTTATTTTGCAGTTTGGTGATTTAAATGCTGTGTCCCCTGGAAATATGGATAAAGGTAAGCATTTTAATCTCTCCAGTGTATAACTCTGTATAGAGCTAATGTGTCTCTTTGAGCAAAATACGTCCTTATGATTTAAAAATGCAGTAAAACATAATTTAGAGCTGTATCATGCTTTAAAGTGCATGTATATGTTATATGGGTACATTAATATATAGATACAATAAGCTATCTATGTAATATGCAGCATATAATAATGACTAGAATATTGTAGGTTTGGTTTAAAATAAGAATGTATTTTAAAGATGTTTATTATTGACACAAGAATTATTCCAATTTTTACTCAGATTTAGTTGTATCTGATAGGACAAAGGAGTGTAACAGCTGTGGGAATAAAGACAGGAGTATGGTTATGTATGTTTATCTGTAGTAAATGTTTTGCTAAGTGAAGAAGGCAGAATTGCATGCAAGTAGTTGTCAGATAACTCGTCAGTGAAAAGGATGGAAAGAAATTAGTTCCTTATAACCTCTTAATGCCATATTTTGACATACGTTCTTATACTGACTAGTTGAGTGATTTAGGGTGACAAAATCACCCCAATCTCTTCACCTCAGTTTGCCTATCTGTAATTAAGAGTAACGCCTCTTTTGTTCATCATGTCTTAGAGTTGAGAGGCATTTTGCAATATGAAGTTAACATTGATAGAGATTGGTTTTGAGATTGCAATTGTTTTTTCCTCATACTGTATCAACAACGTGTAACTCAAGTGATCAAAGCTGCGAGTCTTTTAACCTATTTTAAGATAATAATTGACTTTTTCCATTAAAATTTAAAATTTTCAGTTTGTGCTTTATCAACTCGCTAGTATTCCCTGTATTTTTTTGTATTTCTACTATTATTTGCAAAATAACGAATCTTGTATTAGAATTTTTTCCCTTTGTGCTAGTTTCATGGTGGTTTGTTTGTGCAGATGAGGGCAGCGAAGTTGAAAGTGAAATAGATGAAGAGCTGGATGAAAATGGAGAGCCACAAGCCAAGAGAGAGAAAACAGAGCTAAACCAGGCATTCCAGGTGGGCTGCATGCAGCCAGTGCTTGAGAGCGGAGTACAGCAGAACCTCCTGAACCCGATTCATAATGAGCACATTGTTGCAACTACTCAGACTATCAGACAATGCAGTGCTACTGGAAATACATACACTGCAGTCTAATGTGAAACCTCCCTCCTCAACACACACCCCATTACATTAGCCCTTCGGGTTTAATATGAAAAAATAAATAAAGATAATAAGTCCAAAAGTCGACTGTTGTCAAATTTTAGCTGTGCTGAACTTTCTTTTATTGGAGTTGTTAAATGGAATGGGTGTATGTATTTTGACAGATCTGTTAAAAAAAAAAAAAAAGAGATTTTTTTGTAAACAGAATCATTTTTCATTGGCCGCTCAATATGAAGAATTTTCTTAGTATCAAATGCAAGGAAGATTTTTGCAAAGCTTAATGTTAATAGTTTTGTCCTCTTATAATTTAAATTTTTTTCATAGTTTTTTAAAAAATATTTTAATGTTAATTATTAGTTGTTATTATTATGATTTCATATAGATAAGTTTTTAATTAGATGCACTTCTGTGAAATATCAAACGAACTATTTTCTTTGATTTACACTGGAGGCATACTTATTTGACAGCAGATGTATCAAATTTGTTATAAAAGGTGCTTTTCATTGGACAACGAGAAGACACTATTTTCATAAAATTGTGAGCATTCAAGGGGATTTTTTGTAATAATAATGCTGGAGAGTTGGGAAGTTTCTTCTTCTTCTTCTTCTCCTAGTTTCTTTTTGTGAGAAAGAAGCAAGTTTAAGTGACAGAATTGTAACAGAATGTGGTAACGTGTACGTAATAAACGTACCTTCTTATCTGACCATCATGTAAACAATGCAAGCTTCCTTTAAAATCAACTGTTCCAGATATTATTTGCATACTAGTTCCTCTGTTTTGAAGACTACTGATTCTGTATGTGGGGCCACTGAACAGGTGTTTCTGGCTGTTGAGTGGTACTGTAGTTATTAGAAACTAAAGCTAAAAAAGAAGTGACTTGATTATTATTACTAATTTTATGTGTACGTGCTACTTATGCTGAACTGGACATACAGGAAAACATTCCATTTGGATGACTTTCTTCTGTTCCAGGTCTTTTCCTACTAATGGTTCAGTCTGCTGCTCTTAGAAAAGATAATTTATAGAATGCAAGGAATGTAGCAACATGCATAATTCTCCGTTCAAAAATATTTCCTTGTTGTTAAAGTGGGTTTAAATTTTTACAAAATTAGATAAGGCAGTGTAACTGGCACACCTCACTTGTACTTATTCCCAATTGTGTAGAATTTGAATAGGTGGCTAGATGGACCATTGCCATTTAAGAATGTACATCAGGGATCATTGTACCTCGGCTATTACATGGTGCCTTAAACAGAACTGAAGCTAAGACTTAGTACTTTTTGTTGTTCTTAACTCTTAAAATAATTCAACAAGGTGTGCCTGTCATTTTCAAATTCCCTAAGAAGTAAGGGCAGGTTACATAGCCTTCAAAAGAATAAAAGGATTTTTTTATTATTAAATGATTTTAATATCCCTCTTAGAATGACGATAAACCTATTTTTTTCTCATTTCTAGCTGGATTTCACTTTATTACAAATAAAATTTGCTTGGGAATTTGCAAAGCAAAACTAGCTTTAATACCAACTTCAAATGTCAAAATAGATTCACCATAGTCCCAAGCATGATTATATATTTTCTAAACCCTTGCCTAGTTTTAATTTTAAAAACGAAAAAGAAATAAATGAGCAGGTACATAATGCAGTGCATGTTTTCGATTTCTATATTTTGTGGGGTATCAGCCAGATATTACATTTTAATGGTTAAATAATGACAGTTTATAGAGACCATATTAATTGACATTAAACAACTCAAATTTTTCTCTTAAACATTTCATTATGCAGACACATGAATTTGCTACACTAAAATAGTGGAATTAAATAAGCAAAAAAAGCCAAAAAGTGAAGTAGAGCACAAAAAGATCAACTTTACAGAAAAGACTGTGTAAGAAAACTAGAGATTCTTTTATTTTGGTTTATCCAGTGTGTCTGAAAATCACTTTAAAGTCATATATACCAAATGGGAGAAGAGCATGTAAAATAAACAGCATATTTATAGCAAACAAGTTTGTTGCTAGAGTTTACATATGCTCCAAATACAGCTGCACATCAACTAAAACATCCTAACATTGGTGTACAAAATTAATTCTTTTGCAGAATTGGGAGGTGAACCCATCATTCTCATTCTATATAGGCATAATTCCTACTAATGTCAGTAGATGGCTTTTGCCTCAGTAAAAAGTGAAAGTGAGGTTTATATTCATTATTTCTAAACTCATAAATGCACTGAATCTCATTATATATTTTGTTCTCACATATATCGCTCAGTGTGTCCTGATTTTTCCTTGGAAATCAGCACATGTGTACCCTTCACCAAAAATGCTAAAACTAAGCTGTGATAAATATTTACTCCCCTTCATTGTGCATTATAAGATGTTTACAAGAAAAATAAAGCAAAATAATTCAACATTTTTTTTTTCATTTTCAGCTTTTTTTAATACTGTAGTACTTGTTTCAATTTTTGTGTTGACAGGCATATAATGTTTTCTTATTATTGTCCTTTCTTGGTTTAATGTTGGATTTGTTGTTGCTGAGAAAAGAGTACGATTGTAATAGGTAAATCTAGATTGCTGAAAAAGGTGGGACCTGAGTATCTTTCATAATTTAGCTCCCCACTCCACTCAGTTTTTCACTGTTCACAAAGTGCAAAACAGAACTGAACAAAAATCTGAATACAAAAATGGAATGTATTTCATAGCTTCTAAAAACAATGAGTTATCAAAACAAATTGGAACTATCCCAGGTTCAGAAAACTGAATGGAGTCTGTATTTCTATGCTTAAATTCTAAAGATTTTACCTGACTTTTTTAGAAGAACTATGTTGCTGTAAGCTGCATTGTGTACTTACAGGTTTTGGGGTCTTCTGTTTTCTTTTTACATTTACTGAAATTTTAATCAAACACTTAGATAAAACATTTTGCACACTCTTGCTATTTAATAGTTGGGTTTTAGTAATCATTAAACTACAGAGATACGAATACCTCAGTCTGTACTCTGTAATGCGTGGCATGTGGTTGCATTGCCACACCAGCTCTGAAGCCTGTTGTTAGTGCACTGGGGAGGTGTAGCATGTCTCCACAGGGTAGACATTACGAGAGTTGACATGGTTCATGTGTTTTATCTAATCTTGACATGGAATCCAAAATAATTACTTTAGAGGCATTTCCCCCATTAGCAAATATAGCACAGTGAACAGCGTGGGGGAATGGGTGTTGTTAAACTACCTTTTCAAAACACAGGGCCCAATTTTCAAAAGTTTTATATTTATTAAAATTTGTTGGTACACTTTCATCTTTCTCATAGTAAATCAGTTTTAAAGCTTTTTTTTTTCTGTTTTCAATTATTATTTCTGTTTTGCTTTTGTATTGTAGCATGCTTTAAGCATCATCTACTAAAAAAAGTTCCATAAAAAATTTTGAAAATAAATTTTAAATTATTTACCTATAAAATGATAATTTACAGCATTACTACCTTTAGTTCAAGAATAAGAAAACAGATAACGTTCTGTCATTCAGGAATGTATAGGCCTTTATACAAATTTAATTTTAAGGGAGGTATTTTAAAATATCTAAAATACTTATTTTGTTCACCTTGTTTTCCCTAGGAGAAATGGTCTGATATCTTTGTCATTCTGACCAATTGACATCTGCACTGTTTAGAAATAATTTTATATTAGAGATGCACTGCATTCCAATTTCATTCAGAATGTTTTTAGAAAATAAAAACAACCATTGATAGCCATGAAAGTGCTGACAAAAAAATAGATTTATTAGTAATGTAAGTATAATTTGGTACTTACATGCAACAACAGTGTAAAACATTCATTTGAGGGAGCAGTATGAATTTCTGAAAATTGGGCCCTTTTCTCTCTAACAGGACATCCTCTTTGTGTATGGTTTAAAACAAATCAATAAATGGAATTCTAGTATCTCTGCTAATTTCTTTGGTGATTTAAGACAAACAAACAATAAAAACTGGAATAGAAGCATAAACAGTGCTTATTTCTAGTATTAGAAAATTAATTTGATATAATGCCTTGCATTAACCCTTTGAGCATTGTAAGTAACATGATGGGAACAAAGCTTTTTAGATAATGTAATTAGTCCATTGAGCATATACTTTGAAATAGCTGACAGTGTTGTAGAATTTTTTTAAATTATTTCTAAAGCAAATACTTGCATACTATACGGGAATGGTTTTGTTATAGGAGGCTCAATAGAGGTAGGGAAAATACTCACTGCCATTGATGTGTATAATAGAAAACAGCACTTCAGCTCCCTTGTTTTCGTAATTGCATAAATATATAAAGAAAATCAAACGTTTTTCTACAGATATGAAGTTGTCTGCTTTGAGATGCCTTTAGAAGATAAAGGTTTAGGAAATAAATTCGGGCTATTTTGAAAATCTCCTGAGGTAGGTTAGTATTGACATACTCTGGTACTGTAAAAGAGAATCTTTAGGATTAAAAGAACGCTTTCTGTGAAGAAAAATAAATTTTACAGAATATTTGGTATGTTTGCATTGAAATCTTCGGCAGTGTTTTTGATAAATAACAACAAAAAGCGCATGATTATATTGATAGTCCTTTTAAAACTCAGTCACTGCAATAATGACTAGCTAAAAGAGGAAGGTATTTTATTCATTTACAGGGGTACAGTTTGGATGGCCCTTATTGACTATCAAAATTTTAAAAGCAACCTAGAAATTGCACAAGCCTTTTGCCATTTTAAAAAGCCCCTTTGTTCTTACAAATACTGCTTACAAGAACAAGGGAACAAGTGTAGTAGCAAGTAGATATTCTTCGAACTTACAGATAGGAAGGCCACCTTACTAAGTGAGAGTACAATACATTTTCTACTGGTTTCTTGCAATATCAATCAGTCAGCAAACACTAAGTGCAGCTGTGCTTAAATTTAAGTCTAGCTGAGGGGAAAAAAGAAAGGGTCTCATTTTATTTAATGGAATTATGTCAGTAGTATAGTGCAAGTAAGCTGTAAACATTTTTAGTCAGTTAATGCAAATTAATGCATAATTAACATAAATGCAATACTCAA